CACCAGCACCTCGCTGAACACCATGCTCATCGTGCGCGCATCAAGATCAAGCGAGACAGACACGAGCGTCGGCGCGCGCGTGTCCTCGCCAAACACGGCCACCTGCTGGGCAGTCGCATCCGCGGCCGCCAGCGTGTTGCCAAAGTAGTCGTCCAGCAGCCCGTCCACAAACACAAACGTCGTTGAGGCGTTTGTGGCCAGTGCGCGCTTGGCCTGCAGGGCGAGGAAGTCGGCTGCAGTCATGCGCACGTACAGCACGCGGTCGTCGGCGCTCTGCGTCAGCGCACCGCCAGTCAGCGACAGCGTGAGGGCAGCGTCGGTTGCGTTTGCAGCGGCGCGCAGCTGGATGCGGGCGAAGTCGACCGTGCTGGCGTTGACAGGCTCAGAGAAGGTCAGAGCGAGATCGCCAGCAGTGAGGTTGAAGTCAAAGGACACAAGCGTCGGGGCAGCTGTGTCGGCGACAAACGCCAATGCCTGCTGTGGGCTGTCAGACGTGACAACCGCAACATCCAGGCCAGCAAAGTCGTCGAGGGCAGTGGCGTCCATGGTCAGGAACGTCGTGTCGCGCGTACGGGCAAGGCCAGGTACACGCAGCACCCCCAGCAGGTCCTCCACAGACAGGTCAATCACAACGTACAGCCCGTCTGTGCTGTTTGTTGTGCTCGACTGCAGGGCATAGCTTGTGCCGGCATTGACAAGCGCAATGCTCTGCACACGCAGGGTGCTCACGTCAACGACGTCGCTGAACGTCAGAGAGAGCGTGCCAGCAAGCATGTCCAGCTCGTAGGACACAAGCGCCGCGGGCGTCTCGTCCCTCTGGTACACGGAGCTGGGGCGCGCGTCGTTGGTTGGCACGGGCGCGTTCCAGTTCCCAGACATGTCCTGCACCGTTGCGTTTGTAGCGCTCAGGTACGTGTCTGCCTGTGCCGTGGCCAGGTTGAGGTTCAGCTTGAGCGACACTGTGTCGTCCTGCAGCAGGTCAACACGCACAACGCGCGAGCCCACATCGCCAGCCTCTGCCCGCACAAGCGACACAGCACCGCCCGTGAGCGTCACAGACTCAATCGCAGACGTGCGCGCGGCCTGCACCGTCAGGCCCGTTGGGTCGAAAGACTCGCCACGCACGGGCTCGTTGAAGGTGACAAGCAGCGTGCCGACATCAACGTCGAGGGTGAATGCGGCGATGCGCGGGCTAGTCACATCAGCAACAATCGCAGACGCGTTGAGGGCGGCTGC